TTGAGATCCTGGGCATTTACCTGTATAGTTGTAAGATTTGCCTTCAAAGCATGGCTAAATTAAACTTCCTGGCCCTGCACATTTATATAGTTTTTTCAGTTGTTTATGTGCATGGGTTTAGTTTGTGTTTTGAATCTAGGGCCTCACCTGTGCTGGATACATACTCTGCCACTGAGCTACACTCTCAGCCATGATAATTTTTTACCTAAAGCAGCCTTTCCCCAAATGGGCCAACTGCTTGACTTTATCTGCCAGCTCCTTCATTGCCAGGATCCTGTGATCTTGAGGGAGTGACTTCATCTCTTTGTATCTTTAGTCATTCAAAATATGGAAATAGAGTGGGTATGGGAATGAAATATAAAGCACCCAGTACAGGGCATGGCGTACAGTAAGTGTTCAAAGACTGCTAGCTTCTATTTATTGCCTCTTTGGAAATGTCTGGATGTGTCTCCCATATTCAGCTGGTAAGGGTTTCTAAACTTCAGATACAGTGTCATGTTTAGCTGTTATTGATACCTTCATTAATATAAAGATAGAAAAATGTGCTGCTCAACAACCATTCATTTCAACGCTGAATATAAAATTGGTGAGATATCTATTACTTTGAATTATCCATGTTAGTTTTCACATTTTCCAGGAGACCTACAGTAGGTAGCCTAGGGACCAGGAGAAGCAAACAGTTGTTGCCTTGCCCCTCCTCCTTCCTCTGTCTTCAACCTGAACAGCCTCACTTACTTCCATGTTTAGGGCAAGGATGCGTCTGCTCTTGAAAACTTCTACACTAGATGTCAGGTTCTTTGTTAGCTCCTGTCTTATATCAGAAAAGTTTTTCAAGAAATTATTCACAGCACTTAGTAACAGTGGGTCTTGCTGATGAGGCCAGGGTAACAGGTTTAGGCCTCATATACGTCATCAAACACCACTATGCCACTAGCCACCTCTGGAGTTGTGACCCAGTGCCTGCTGTGCAAGAGCTGCTACCAGTGACCGAGTCAGTGGCCATCTCCTTGGGAAGGACTACGTTTTTGTCATATGCAAAGCTTAGAACTGTATAGATTGGCAAAAAAACCAGAAAGTTGAGTGTGAAAGAGCATGCCCATAATCCCAGTGTACTGGGAGACTGAGGCAGGAGGATTACAAATTCAAGATGAGCTAGGGTAACGTCAGAATTTAAATCCTATCTTTAAAAAAAAAAAAAAAACAGCTGGGCATGGTGGTGCACACCTATGATTCCAGCACTTGGAAGGCTGAGGCAGGAGGATTGCTGTGAATTGGAGGCCAGCCTGGGCTACATAGTGAGTTGGAGGCCAGCCTGAAATACATAGTGAGACCCTTTCTCTAAATAAACAAACAAATAGCTCAGTACTTTCAGGAATCAGTTCCCTGTACCACTCATGCACAAAGACAGTGCTTTCTAGTTTCTTAGACTGCAGTCCTTATCCATGAGGGGGCAAGAACCGCTGTGGATGAATACAGTGGTGGCTATTCCTTTTATTATTATTATTAATTATTATTATTATTATTATTATTATTATTATTTTGTCTTTTTGAGACAGGTCTTGCTGTGCAGTTCAGGCTGGCCTTGAGCTCACTTTGTATCCCACTCTGGTCTGGAACTCACAACTATCCTCCTGCCTCAGCCTCCCGAGTACTGGGATTACAGGCATGCGCCACCATGCCCGTCTTATTTTTTTTTTTTGTCTGTGTTTTTGTTTTTCTTTAAAAAGTCTTTTGGTAGCTCGGGGGTAGGATAATTAATATTTATGTGGATTTTTACTATTTGCAGTTCTGGGGCTGGAAGCCAGGGCGTTGTGCATATGTTACTACTGAGGTGCCCCTCCACCAAGTTAGTTACTCATTTATCTCTTCTCTTTGGACTTCTTTTTTTGTAGGTTTTTTTGAAACACAGTCTCTACATAGTTCAGGCTGGCTTTGAACTCAGGGTGATCCTTCTGCCTTACCCTCCAAGTGCTGGAATTACAGGTGTGTGCCACCATGCCAGGCCCTCCCCTCCTCTTTCTCTTTCTCTCTTTCCCTCTTTCTGTCTTCCCTTTGTCTTGATGAAGCAATTAGGGTGCTTCTAGCCCGAGTAGTACTGTCTGCTCTGGGTCCTCGCCCTTTTGTACATTGGCCATAGAGGCTCTGCTCCTCTGCTGCCTGTGTCCTGGAGCTGTCCTGACCAGTGTGCAGCCAGAGTCTGCTTGCACAGGGTGGAAGCAGCCTGTAAAAATGAGTGCTTCTCACATTGTCTTCCATGCAGTATTTTGGGAAACGTGGTGCCCTGCCTTGTTAACGCATAGAAATTTTAACTTACTCCCTCCCCTCCAAGATAGCCACTACTCCAGAACCTTCTCAAGACACATCATCTCAGTAACTGTGTTGGTACCTTCTAGATGATGGTCAGTCCTCCTGAAAAGGCAGGCCATGGGCTCAGATTCGCATCCGGAGCGCCTGAGACAAGACCAGCTGCAGGCTGTCTTCCTCAGCATCTGAATCCTTAGAGGGCTTTTCCTGCTGGAATGGTGGTAGCACTATAGGAGCTGAGGAGAAAACCATAAATGTTCTAAATAGCATTTCCCTTCCTCCATTTATATATTTATTCATTTATACATGCGGTCCTAGGGATTGAACCCAGCAGAACTCTCCTGCTGAGATACATCCCCATACCACTTTGTGTTTGTTTTTGTTTTGAAACAGTGTACCTGAATTGCCATGACTCCCAAGTAGCCGGGGTTGTGGATGTGGGCCATCATGTCCAACTCCTTTTCTTTTTCTTTTTTTTTTAAGTCCCCTAGAATGATGTAGTTTAGGCTGGCATTAAACTCACTTTGTAGCCCAGGCTGGCCTCAGACTCAAGGCAATCATCCTGCCTCAGCCTCCCAAGGACTGGGATGATATGTATGCCTCCTTTTCCTTCTAAAAAAATCTTTTTTTGGTGCTGGGGATTGAAATTAGGGGCTTGAGCATGCATATGCTGACCATGTGCTGTGCCGCTGAGCTACTTTCCCAGACCCCCTAGTAACTTTTCAAGCTGTAGGCAGATCCAAGTAAATATTTTTAGGTTTTTCTGTGTGCTTTTAGTACTGTACTTTGAATCCAGAACATTGTGCATTCTAGGCAAATCGCTGTACCAGTGAACTATATCTCTAGCCATTTGATGGTGATGATGATGTCATCTTTTTGAGAGAGGGTCTTGCTGTGCAGTTCAGGTGGGCCTCTTAAGCTCACTTTGTAATGCAGGCTGGCCTCAAACTCACAGCGATCCTCCTGCCTCAGCCTCCTGAGTGCTGGGATTACAGGTGTGGTAGCTCTTCAACCATTTTAAATTTTATTCTGAGATAGGTTCTTACTGAGTTACCCAGGTGGGACTCAAATTTGTGATTTTCTTGTCAGCTTGGCAACTTGCTGGGATTACAGGCTTATCACACTGTGCCCATGTAGCTTTTTGTTAGTATAGGTTTTGCTTTGAACTTACTGAAGTATCACTACTTTATTACCAAAATGAGAAACATAATTGAGTTTGTATTAAAAACCAGTTAAACACTTTTATTTTGTTTCTGAGACATGGGGGATTCTCCAGCCCTTTATTTCAACACAGGCTCTCACTAAATTGCTAAATTGCCTGTGTTGGGCTAGAACTTGTGACCATCTTGTCTCATCCTCCTAAATCAATTAAATATATCAACACCTATTTTATTACCTAACGAGCATCTTTGTCTTCAGAGAGAGTGAATGTCACATTACAGTTAGTTGTGGGTCTTGTCTGGCATTGTCTTTCAAGTTCTTATACTTTTCAGGGTAGTTACTGTCCTTAATGACTTTGAATAGTTGTGTTTCTGGCTAGGGCCAGACAGAAGTACAGCTGGTATAAGTTGTAAATGGAAGTTTGTAGACATTTGAGCAGCTTTATAGAATCAATCTTTACTTGCAAGATTGTTCAATAATGTTTAAAAATAAAACAAATTGGTTTTGTGGTTTTCTCTTTGCTTTTACCTTCAATTAACTTCCCCATTTTCTGATTCTTTTGGTTTTGGTGGTTTACCGCATTCCTAGGGCCACCAGGATGCATTTACAGAGGCAGGAACTTGGTTGTCTTTGAGGAGTTTCATGCCCTGCGCCTACATGTTCTGAAAGACTGCTCTGGAGAGATCATGAGGAGAGCAGCACTTGAGTAACGCAGTCCATGATGCCAAAAAAAAATACACAGCTTTTGGCTTTCTTGTAACTCCCAAAGCAGGTGTTTAAAATGGTCGTTTTGGTGACCTAGATGTGCAGAATTCACCCTCATGCGTCCTAGTCATTGTTCTGCTTTTGTTGAGACATATAGGGGTAGTAGTTGTGTGTGTGTGTGTGTGTGTGTGTGTGTGTGTGTGTGTGTGTCCCTTTGAACCGAAGGCCTTTGCACCAAGCTGCCTCCCAGCCCTTCTCTTGCTCTTTCCTCATTTATCTTCTCTTTTTCTTTCCTTCTCTCTTTTTCTTCTTTTACCAGGATTGAACCACCCAAGGCCTTTGCTATATCCCTAACCCTTTCTTAAATTTTATCACAGGGTCTTGCCAAGTTGCCCAAACGGCCTCCAACCTACATTCCTCCTGCCTCAGCCTCCTGAGTAGCTGGGATTTATAGGCATGTGTCACTTTGTCCTCTTGCCATCTTCTCTTAAGCCTTTTTAGTACTCTAATTATATCTGTTAAGTTAATTCTGCTTTCAAATTAGGTTTTTTTTTTGGCTTTTTTCCGGAACTGGGAATCAAACTGACGACCTTGTGCTTGCCAGGCAGGCGCTGTGCTGCTGCGCTAAATCCCCAGCCACTCAAATTAGTTTAAAGATGTTAAATTCAGTTTATGGAATTGTGAACTTTAAAAATGGGAGAGGGAGAAATCCTTTTGCTTTATCTTCCACTGTGGCAGCGAAAGGACTTTTCTTTGGGAAGACGCTACATATCTGGAGTTCTGAAAATAGTAGGCATGGCCCACTTATTTTTCTTTCCTTGGTTTTTTAGAGAGAAGACCTAGTCCAGAGAGGGAGGTGTAAAGCTCCAGGTATGGGCTCCTTGCTGGATGGGTGTGCTCCATGGCCAACTATTAACCTTCTTGCATGAGGCCTGCTGTGCAAACATGCAAAGTTGCTTTCTGAAAGGTGATGGCTTCTTTACTACATTGTGGGGTATCATTCGCGAAATACCTGTCCCTGGGAAGCTGGAAGTATTTTCTTGCTTACTCTCGCAACTCTTCCTCCATCGCTGTCTCCCAAGGCAGGCTTATTTCCACTAGGGGCTGGGTTCTTGGAGTGGAGTGTGTGAGGACAAGAGCTATGCATAGTAGCTCACGGGGAGCCTTCTCCCCATTTCCACCTCTAGAGGGGAGACCCCTGCTGAACTAAAAAACAAAGATGAGGATGGAACTTTGTGGATTCTACACAGATGTTAACCATTCTGGAACCAGAATCTGTTCACTGATTTTTAAGTCCACATTGGCGTTAAAACAGTGTGTAGACTCAGAGCATCTTGCTGTGAGGTCAGAGTTACACCGAAGTTCAGAACTAATTTGAGATTTTGATTTGAAGGGTGGTCAGAATTTGGCAGATGAATTTGTTAGGGCTGGCTTTGTCCATTGGAGACTCTTGGTTTATACTTTTGCCAAACAGGTCAATCACAGCAGAGAATCTTCTGCTAATCCTTATCTTTGGCACTGATTGTGGAAGGTGACAAGAATGATTAAGGATAAAGGAGAGGAAATAGAAAACTTTCAGTTTTAAAATAGAGTCTAGGACCTGTAATCCCAGCACTCTGGAGGCTGAGGCAGGAGGCCAGCCTGGGCTACATAGTGAGTTCAAGGCCAGCCTAAACTACTAGTGAAAATCTGTTTCAAAAAAAGAAGGAAGCTGGGCATGGTGGCACATCCCGGGAGGGTGAGCCAGGAGGATCATCGCAAGTTCAAGACCAGCCTGGGCTACAAAGTGAGCTCAAGGCCAGCCTAACTACATAGTGAGACCCTGTCTCAAAAAGAAGGGGGAAAAAAAAAAAAAAAGAAAGAAGAAAAGCTTGATTTTTCTTTCCCTCAGCCTTGTGATAGCTTCATGTGTGGAGCGACTTGGACATGAGCAACTAAATGCACTGCTTCTTTTCTTGCAGTGGTTTTAGAATTTGAAATAGGTTTTTACAGTGTTTTAATTTCTCTCTATTTCATCCCCTACCACATTAGAAATTTCTGCATTATTATTTATTTACTTTTTTTTTTCCTTTTTGTCTTTTTGAGACAAGGTCTTGCTATGCAGTGCAGGCTGGCCTTGAGCTTGCTTTGTAGCCCAAGATGGTCTGGAACTTGGAACAGTCCTCTTGCCGTAGCCTCCTGAGTGCTGGGATTACAGGCGTGTGCCACCACACCCAGCCCCTGCATTGTTTTAGACTTGCTGTAAACTCCTAAGTTTGTTACTCTTAACTGTCATGTTTTTGTAATAACAGCAACACAACAGAAAGCCTCCACAAAGTAGGATACTATGGAGGTAATTGCCAATTCAAGCCAGCATATGATGGCCTCATTGTTATTATTATTTATTCTGAGATAGGGTTTTGCTATGTTCTCCAGGCCGGCTTTGAACTTAAAAGATCCTCTCCATCAGCCTCCTGACTATTCTGGGGAAAGGTACTCAAATTTTGAAGTAAAATTCAAGTAAATTAAATCTTCCCCTGAAGATTTTAAGCTAAAATTGTAGGTTTCTCTAGTTGGTTAGTGTTAAAGGGGTGTTAGTTGCTTGCTTCTTTACTCTGTCCTTTATATTATTTCACTGCTTACAGTTGCAGTCTCCTTAATAAGGTTACGACTATCCTAAGATTATATTCTAAGGTTATGACTGTTCTCTAGATGTTTGTACTTGTAGTTTCCTTACATAAACTGATGGCGAGTTTTCATGGCACATGCATGTTTTTATAATTTAGCGTTGGTCTCTAATCTCTTCTGTGCTCTAGAACCAGACTTCATGCCATTGCCCTTTTGGAAACACTTAGCTTGTGGGGTAGACATGGAACATGGTTCTTTGTCGCACCAGTCAGGGCAGAGGTTTGCAGATGCCACACCCAGGTCCTTTTCCTCAGCTATGCTTCACCTTTAGGCTGAAAGATGCTGTACATTTCTAGCACTTCTCCCTTCTAACCCATTCTTACATTATCCTCTTAATTTTTTCCATTCCTACATTAAAATGTAAGGTGCACAATTTTTTTTAATATATATATATATATATATATATATATATTCTGTGCAACGTGGGTTTTGTTTTATTTTTTTGTGGTGCTGGAGATAGAACCTAGGGCCTTGTGCATGCAAGACAAGAAGTCTATACTGAGCCACATCCCCTGCCCTGCACAATTTTCTTACCTATATTGAACAGTTTTAATTATTTGGGGTTCTTTTTTTCTTTTTGGAATTGGAAATTGGCACTGGGTTACATCCCAGACTCCTATTCCACCTTTTTTTGAGATAGGGACTTACTAAGTTAACTAGGCTGGAACCAAACTTGTGATCCTCTTGCCTCAACCTCCAAAGTGCTCAGATTACAGGCCTATGCCACTGCACCCAGTATTGCTTGGGTTTGCTATCAGGCTGCTTGTTCCTCCCCTCTCATAATCAGGCTTTCAATTATTGCTCTTAAAAAAAGAGGCAAACAAAACTGAGGCAGGCAACCAGCGAAAGTAGAGCAAACCACAGAAGCAAATTCAGAGTGAAAGAACGGGAAGTAAAAAGACCGAGGAAAAATTAAGGCCTTCTTTGGCGGCAAATCATAACCACCCCTGCCTTCTCTTTCTATTTCTAATGTGTCCTTTGTGGAAAAAGCCTGGAATGTGTGCCTAATTAAGAAATTTTTTTAAAAAAATGATGTGTAGCTTTCTATGAATAACTGACTTTTAATTCTACTTTTTAATTTCCCTTAATATCTGTGTTTTTGTATTCCCATAATTCTTTTTATTATCACTTAACTTTATAACCCTTTTCTAAAATTGAGTGACTCATGATTAATTTCTGTGCTTTCTTTTCCCACAAGCATGTTGAATTTAATTATACAGAGATGAACTCTTCAGAACTGCCAAAGAGGGCCAGGGATATAGCTCAGCGGCACAAGCACCTGCCTGGCAAGTGCAAAGTCCTGAGTTCGATTCCCGGTAGCCCCCCCGCAAAAAAAGATTAGTTTTTAAAAAAAAGAACTGCCAAAGAGATGCACTCTCCCTTGTTTCATAACATTTCCATCTCACAGGTTTTGAAAGCACTGTTGCTTTGTAATAGCAAAATGGATTTTAGTAGCAGTGTAAACACAGAATTTGTGGCACCTCCACTCCCTGCTTTCTTTTATTTATTTATTTTTTTTGGTTTTTCTCCGGTACCGGGAACTGAACTCACGACCTTGCGCTTGCCAGGCAGGCGCTTTTGCCGCTGAGCTAAATCCCCAGCCCCCCCTGCTTTCTTTTAAATAAAAATTCTAGAACTGGGAAAAATGGTTTTAAAACTTAAAATTAATGTTTCTCAAAGTGCAGCTTAATGAAAATTAGTGTAAGGCACACACATCCTTCCGTACCCTGAACAGTGCCTTGTGACTCAGTCAGTTTCCCATGCTCAGTACTCTTCTGTTACAGATGTGATTGTGGTTCAAACAGAAACATAATTGAAATTCATGTATAGTGAGGAAGTAATAGGTAACAGTAACCAGTGGAATTACTTGAGGTTTGGTGATCCCGTTTTAAAAGAATTCATTTTTTTAATTAATTGATTTTTTTTTTTTTTTTTCCCCTCTTTTTGAGACAGGGTCTCACTATGCAATTCAGGCTAGTCTTGAACTCACTTTGTAGCCCAGGCTGGCCTCGAACTTGAAAGGATCCTCCTGCCTCAGCCTTCCGGGTTCTGGAATTACAGGCATGTGCTACCACGCCTGGTTTTAATTTATTTTTAAAAATTTTTTGTGTGCTGGGAATTGAACTCAGGACCTTGCGCTTGCCAGGCAGGCACTTTGCTGCTGAGCTAAATACCCAGCCCTTTCAGGAATTCTTAAACTAAATATTTTAACTTTAACTTAACTCAGAATTGCTCTATGGTCAAGGTGGTTTTCAATAGGAATCCTGTCAGCAGTCCCAGTGTACACAGAGAAACCAGGGCAAACCCCCTACTGACCTGCTTATCCCAGCAAGGGGCACCAGTGCTGCCTGGCATCAGAGGAGGGGAATTGTACTGTGTGGGGGTCACACAGTCCCCTCTCACTTGCACCTTGTTTCTGCTGCTTCCTGTAGTAGGATGGGAGAGAGCTCCTGCCACGGTATCTCTTAACATAGACCAGCTGAGCCCAAGGTTCGGACAAGTAAAGCACTTTGCTGCTGTTCTAGTTCTAGATTGTGGGGGGTTATGTCTGGATGTTGGAGAGAAGACCCAGCTTGTCTCTGGGCCAGGTGCAGACAGGTACCAGCTACTGTTACCCTGACGGCAACCTCTAGACCTGCGCCACGCGTGTTGCCTCTCATTAGGGGTGGAGCATGAGGCCCCAGTTATCCCCAGCACTGCAAAAAAACCAACCAGACACACAAAAAGTAACTTCATGTTCAATACATCATTCATTTAATTCTTTTTTTGGGGGAGGGGAGTGGTTTCCAGTACTGGGAATCAAACTCACGACCTTGCGCTTGCCAGGCAGGCACTGTGCCGCTGAGCTAAATCGCCAGCCCCTCATTTAATTCTTTACAGGCTGAACATAGCTTCCTCTTTTTTTCAAAGTTCTCTGTGTCGTGAGCTAAGCTTGGGTGAAGTGAAATCTTTGCAGTTAGGCAAGCCTGATGGTAAAAATGGAAAGAAGGCCTGTGAAATTTGGGAGCCTGTAGAGATGAAGTTTTAGAGTCACTGCCTCAATATTGAAATGCCACAATTTGTCGTTTGGAGGGATGTGGAGCTAAATTGAGAACAGGAGCACACATCTGCCTTGACTACTAAGTATACTCGTCTCCACTGCTCACCCAGAATAGAATTTTTATGTGTGCACTTGGTAGTCTTGGTCTTGCCAATGTCCTCCCTGCTCCCCTTTCTGGGGATCAAACCAGGGCTTTCCCTGAGTTCCAGCCGAGGCCTTGGCATAGCTTAGAGAAGGAAAGGAGAAAGTCAAGAGGCTCGGCCTGCAGCTTTCTCCCTTCTACATGTTTTAGAGTTGGTCCTTAATGTGCTTATTTTGTTTTGTTTATTGTCACTGTGCTGGCTTTTGATTTTTGTTTCTTTAGAGAGGTCAGCAGAGGACTGAAAGAAGTTTTTTTCCTAGTATGCTATCAAGGAAGAGTCAGAACGCTACTATTCCTTTTTGTTTTCTGGCAAGTTAATAAAGAAATTTTGTGTGTGCCACCTAATGAATGTTACTGAACCAAAACCTTTTTTTTTGGTCATACTGAAGGATGAACCCAGCACTTATGCGTGCTAGACCTACCACTGAATTTCATTCCTGGGTCTTTTTAAGTTTTATTTTCAGAGCCAACTGTGCTAAGCTACCCAGGCTGGCCCTGAACTCTCATGACTTGTGTGATCACACCCAGTTGAAAAAGGATTCTTCACATCCTTTGTGATGAGGCCCAGTTAGCATACTTTACCCTCAGCACCCCCAGAGTGCGTCCTCCTGTAGGGAGGTAGTTGTGTGTGAGCAGCAAGTTTCTCCTGGCCATTTTTCAAGTGGTTTGCCTCTGACCTGCTTCTGATGTCCATCCCCCTCCTGCTTACGTGACTGTTCCGAGGTTAGTTTTCACCCAAGTACTGTGCTCATTGCTGCCTTTTGCACTCGGAAATTAAGTGTAAAACCACGTCCAGTATTCCAGGAGAAGATTAAAAACATTTTCAGACCACACAGTGTGACTTTCCTTCCCCACCCCCCCTTTCAGGTAGTTGTAGGCTTTGGAGAACTTGGAAAACTGATTTGCAGGGAGGAGTTGGAGATGTGAAACAAGTTTATGTTTCTTCTGCTCTGTTGGCCACTGCTATCTTCATGGATCTGACACTATTTATCTGACAGTGCACTTAGTAATGCTTCGCCAGGGAAAATCACACAAAACAAGCCTGGCGCATCAGCACTTTCATTGTGTGCCGGCTGAGCCTCCCTTCACATGGTCACAGCCCCGCTTTAATCAGTCCTCCCTTCCCTGCCCCTTCCCCAGACCTGCCTCTTTCTGCAGCACTTACTGCTGGTTTCCCTGAGCTCCTGTTTCCAATTTGTGTTTTTTGTGGAGCCCAGGAAGCTAAAGCTGAGTGTATTTGTGGATGAGACAAGTCCATCAAGTTAATGTCATTGGCTTCTGAAGGGGACAGTGAGGTGATGGCCGCGTTTAAGTTGGATTTCCTTCCAGAAATGATGGTGGAGCATTGCTCTTTGAATTCCAGTCCTGTGTAAGTATTTTTGTTGTCTTAATTTATGTATCGTAAGCAGAGGAACTGGGCTGTTTTTGTTGTTACTTGATGAAACTTGTTCCTTTCCTTAAAAGAGGGAAGAAAAGGGGGGAAATGGCACGAGAAAGCCAAACTCTGAATTTTCTCATGCTGTTATTTTCTGTTTTAGTCTGATTCTGTCTTAACTGCTCATGTCCTCCGGGCTCTCAGTTCTTTGTACAAGGTTGCACTCGTGTGACAGCCACAGCAGCTCATGGTGCTGCTCAGGCCCTTTACCAGGGCGTGTTTTCCCATGTTGCCTTGAGTTGGGCAGGCAACTTTAAATAAACTTTTGGGAATAAAGTATTTTATTTATTACTACTTTTAATTATCAAGTTCTTAAACTGTCACAGAGGAGATTGGTAGTTACGGTGGTTTTAGTACTGTATACAAAGTTCTATATTGACGTGTAAAGTATAATTCTGTACCTTGATTTTTTCCCCCACTCTAATTGAAAATGCAGTTTAGCACATGATTTCAGAAATGTCAGATGTCCCCCACCCTCTAAGAAAAGAAAAACTGGATCAATATGGATTGGCAGTTTGCTCAAATAAATTGTGGATGTGGGAAGGAGAAACCTTGTTAGCTTGTAACATTGTGCAAAACTGCATTGTACACAACTAAATGCCAACCTGGGCCTGAGGTACAGCAATGGAGCCTGGATTGTGGACTTGGCAGAGGACCCATTTCCAACCCTTTCTGTCAAAATCTGAATTCTCTCTTATTTCAGCTACTTTAACCAGGTTTCAGAAAACTTCTGCCTCTCAAGCAAACCTTAGGTTTTTATTCAAAGCCAGGAATACTGTATTAAATGGTAGAATATGTGCAAGATAGTGCAAGTCTTTGAGGTTAGGCCTCTGTGCGCAGATCAGTCTGGCCCTTGATTGGATGTAACAGGTGAGGAGTGGTGGGGGCCTCAAGTCAGGCATCTTACACTTTCAAAATGGACCTTGTGTTTTCTATGTAGTCTCTAAAACAAGACTAATTTAGATAAGCCTTTGTGATAGGTCTTTACTACTGCTAAATAAATAACTTGGTTTAGCAGCAGTGAAGATAAAACTTTAGTACAATAAATAACTTCAGTATAAATAACTTTAAATAATTAAATAATTTTAGTATAATAAATAACATTTTAGTAGTAGTTACCAGGTGAAATTATAAGTATCATCATAAAGATTTAGTGCATAAACTGGGTGTAGGTGCGCACTATAATCCCAACACCTTGGGAGGCTGGAGGCTAAGGCAGGATGGATGATTGTAAATTCAAATCCAGCCTGGGCAATTTACAGACTTAATGAGATCCTGTCTCAGAATTTAAAAATTAAAAAGGAGCCGGGGATCTAGCTCAGTGTAAAAATTAAAAAGGAGCCGGGGATCTAGCTCAGTGTGAAGACTTTGAGTACCGCCAAAAAAGAGTACACTATAATGAAAGATTAGCCAGGCATGGGGGCGCACGCCTGAAATCCCAGCACTCGCAAGGCTGAGGCAGGAGGATTGCTGGGAGTCTGACCAGCCTGGGCTACAAAGTGAGCTCAAGGCCAGCCTGAACTGCATAGTGAGACCCTGTCTCCAAAAGACCAAAAAAAAAAAGGATTACGGCTTTGTGATTCAAATTATCTTTGCATTATACTATTTTTCTTCCTGTGCTTTGCCACTGCCCAGTGTTTAACACCTTAGAAAATAGTGCTTTTCTTAGTCTGTTTTATCCTTTTGGTTTTTCGAGACAAGGCCTCTCTGTGTAGACCAGGCTGGCTTTGAACTCTAGTCCTGCCTCCGCAACCCCTGTCCCCCAAGCGAAGGGACTACAGGCATGTGCTGCCACACCTGGCTGGCTTGTTATTTTTTTCTTGTTCATCTTCTTTTTTGAACTTGTTGTAGTCATCCTGGCTCAGCCTCCCAAATGCTGGGATTACAGGCCTGCGCCACCACACCTGGCTGTTTTATCATCTTTTAATGGGTTGGACATAATAATCCACTGTTTCATGAAGTCTGGACCATAGCATGAACACCACCTGGTACTTAAAACACAAGGAGTTCATATACAGGATTGTGAGGCTGTTTTCTTGCACACTCAAGTGTTTTGTTTATTTTTAATGAAGGTATTCAGAGTTGATCAGTGTAGAATGTTATATCATTTTTTTCCAAGTGCACTTGCATCTATTTTAGTCATCCGTTTTCACCAAAATTTTGGCCATGGGCTGTTTACCCTCCATTCCAGATAAGAAACGCAGTTGACAAAGGGCATGCACTTCCTGGCCTAGCATACAAATTTAATGATAGCTTTTTTTTTTTTTTTAAATTTATGAGTTGAGGGGCTGTGGATTTAGCTCAGTGGCACAGCGCCTGCCTGGCAAGCGCAAGGTCGTGAGTTCAATTCCCGGTACTGGGGAAAAAAAAAAACACTCCAAAATATAAATAAATAAATAAATGAATTTCTGAGTGAGTCACAGGTCTGTGTCACAGGTCTTTGGACCTACCGTGAAGGTACATGCACCTCACCGCAAAGACAGGAAGGGGAAAGAGGAAAAGTGGTGTGCATGTGGAGCTAGGGGTAAGGGTTTGGCAAGTGCTGCACCACAGAGCCACAGCCCAGTTTCAGAAGGTTCTTGAGAGAGGTGTGCATTTGCCACCTCTTTCTTGGATTTTCAACCCTATGTTAGCAAGAGGCTATATCAGTAGTTTTCTCGCTAAATGATTTGCCTGGGGATGAACCTAACTTTGTGTATTATTTCTATATTTCTTTATATCACAGAAGAAATGGTGCAAGAGCTGTGGAAGTTCTAGGGGATATGGTCCCTATTCTTACTTGGAATCAGTGTCCTTGATTCTGTTCTGTGTGCCTTCAACCATGCACTGATTTCCCTTACTTTGCTTGCACCCTAGCACATGGATGTTCTCTGAGGCTGTCTCTTAGGCCTTTTGCTTAAAGGAGCACTCGTGTGCTTCTCCTTCTTGAGTCTCCATATCTGTCTCCCAGTGTCGTTTGAACTCTGTGACTATTCTAGAAAGTACTCATCAGACACTGCTGTATAGAGGCTTCCTCACAAACTTGTTTCCCAAATCATACCAGAGCCCAAGAGTTTCAGTAACTCGTTCTCCCTTGCCTCCTTGGAATTTAGCTGAACCCCCTAGACCTAATGGATCCTGACCCCAAATTGCTTAGTCCTGGCTGAGCTAATCTTAGGAGTTAGTTTGTGAAAAAACATCCAGCTTTTTATGTTTTCCCAATTTATTTCATTAGATTATTGCTAGATATCTTTTAAAAGGCAAGTCTGATCAGTCTTTCCTTTTCAGATCTTGGAGTAAAGTCCAAGCTTGTCTTCGTACTGTGATTGGGTTTTTCCTACCTCTCTTCGTAATTTTTTTATTTTTGGGGGGTGGTGGTGGTACTGGGGATTGAACTGAGGGCCTTGTGAGTACTAGGCAAGCACTCTATCACTGAGCTACATCCCCAGCCTTCCCTTTTTTATTTTTGTTAGCTACGTAAGTTTTTTGTTTGGTTGATTGTTTTTTTGTCTTTTTGAGACAGGGTTTTACTGTGCAGTTCAGGCTGGTCTTGAACTCTAGCCCAGGCTGGCATCAAACTCACAGCAGTCCTCCTGCCTCAGCCTCTCAAATGCTGGGATTACAGGTGTGTGGCCACCATGCCTGGCAGCTTTGTAGTGTTTTCTCCCCTCTGTTTTTCCCTGATTTTCTGTTCTGCTTTTTCAAGTCTACTTTATGCCCTTCTAAGGTTATCTTAGCCCTCCCCTCTCTTGTCTTACCATTCATGACCCCTGTCCATTTCCCTATGCCATGTGGCACTTGTCCCAGCCGGCTGGCCCGTTCAGCTTCAGTCCCAGCACACACTTCCCCTCTTCCAGATAAAGGCAAGCCATAATAGTCATGGCTCCCACAGAGTGTCGACACGTGTGCAGGATCTGTGGGGCACTGCAGTTATGTCCTTCTGCTTCTTCTCTGCCATTGTCCCCAGAGCAGGGGTTGCGTAGTCTGTTACACAGCCCTGGGCAGATAGGGTCTGGCACCATCTTAAGAACTTGGGAAGAGGCTGGGGGTTTTAGCTTAGCGGCACAGCACCTGCCTGGCAAGCGCAGGGTTGTGAGCTCGATTCCTGGTACTGGGGGAAAAAAAAAAAAAAAAAAAGAACTTGGGAAGTAGTTTTTGTTTCATTTTGGTGACTGGAAATGATTGAAGATGTAAGATTTCCAGATATTTCCTCCAAACCTGAGAAGGCTGGAAATCTTCAAAAGCAGGTTGTTGGCTGGTAGCTTTAGGATCTAACGTGATAGGAGGTCTGCCTTTACCCAGTGAAAGTTCTCACAGTATAGACATACACTCTGTCATGGTCTCACAAGAGAACAATCAGTAAGTAACTCAGGCCTGTTTCTGGCCCTTTTCGTTTGCATACATGTCTGTTCTCTTTTTTCCACGGAGCTGGAGTTTGGTGGCTGAATTCAGAATGTAGCATGTGTGCTTACGCCGGCATGGGAAGTGGGTGGGTTGAACATTTTCTTTTTGTATTAATGGTCAGAGGAAAATCAGTGGGTATGAAAAAAGAGAGAATAATAAAAGGAATGACTCTTTTTTTCCCATACTACTGAGGATTGAACCTGGGTCCTTCACACTGAGCTACCTCCTCAGCCCTTTTTTATTTTTATTTAGAGGTGGGTTCTCTAAAAGTTGCTAAGTTTCCCAGGCTAAGCTTGAACTTGCAGTCTTTCTACCTCAACTTCCCAGAGTGCTGAGATTACAGGCATGTGCCACCACAGCCAGCTCAGAAATGGCTATTAAACAGATAGGAAATTACTGCTTGCCAGTGTGTTTGGCCAGAAGAGACAGATATCAGATACTCACTGACGCTAGCATATACCCAGGCATTGCTGTAAGGATACATGTGGACTAGACTGTGATGTTCATCAGAATTCCACAGCCGGAAGACCTTGAAGCTGTCTCCCCAGGAC